AGTCTCGAAGTAGAACTATTGTCTTATAATTACTAGGCATGTAAACTATATTGTACAATTCAGTCCATTCTTTGGAGCATTTGTTTTCTGACTTTATAGTATGTATTTGATGATATATCAACACCTGCTTTTTTATACTTGGGCTTTTTTAAAAGGTTAAAATTGAGCAGTAAATAAGTGTTGACAGGGGTGTCTGGGTGGCTCAGTTGGTTGAGTGTCCGCCTTTGGTTTGGGTCATTATCCCAGGGTTTGGGATCAAGCCCTGCCTCAGGCTTCCTGCTTAGCAGGAGGCCTGCTTCTCCCTCTCCTTCTGCTTGCTGTTCCCCCTGCTTGTGCTCTAATAAATAAAATATTTTAAAAAATAAAAAATTAAGAAGTTGACAATTTCGTGATCACACTGAGATGTTTTAATGTAAATTTTATTATAGAAGTCATACAATAAAAAAATACAGAATGGTTTGTGATCTAAGATGGAGAGTGAATCTCCTCCTCCCCACCACCCTCTAATCTTTCAGTGTCATGACTACAGTTTCTTTAAAATTATATGGTGTTACGATACACTATAACAGTAAGCATTACTATTATGGAGGATTGAAACTCAATTCTATAATATGTTTAACACTGGGTTGCCAAAAGCCCATTTTCTTCACATTTAATATTCTCCCTCATTAAAGTAATATTTTTGTAACACAGATACTTTGTACCCACATTGGTCACCAAAATTTTATAGTTTTATCTTGCAAGTGTAACACATATATAATTAAACAGTTAGTGAACATATAGAGATTGAGCACAATTAAGGCCCACAAGGTACTGCTGTGTAATGTATCTACTACCAGGTTGATCAAACCAGTAGTTATATTTGACAGCAAGAAAAAAATTAACTGGTTTCTGTTCATAGCTGTGATTAAACAAAGACTGGGTTCCTTTCTTTCAGCTTCAGAGACTAGAGATTCTGAATGTTTTTTATTTGTGGCAGATAACTGGATTGGTTTCCAAGAACATGGTACTATAGCCCCTTTAATTAGAAATTTGGCAAAACTCAAAATTATGTCACACAGTAATAAACTACTAAGAAGTATCAGGCTAGAAGCAATTATCCAAATACAAAAAGCTAAATTGGCCATTCTCCGAGATACTACTTCTACATTTACCTGAACTATGTAAAGAGATATGAAGAGGCTAATAGCTGTCAGCAGAATGTGGTATGTTCCTTTTACCCAGTCTTTGACATGTGATCTTTTTTTAAGCATATATGACCCTGTTTGCACACCAGCCATATGAATTGCCACATACCCCAAGGTAGAGATTATTCCTTCTCGGTTGGCATTTAATAAACCAATCCTCGTGCCATTGCCATCAGTGCCATACAAAATTAACCTTTTCAGTGGGGTAAAGTCAAGGGCTAGCTGGTATAACACAATAATGCTGATGGCCACAATCCAGGATTTATTTAGAGGAAAAATAATTAAAAGCAGTGATGTTAACAGTTTCACAACTATTAAGGTAAAAAAAAAGTTCCAGTGAACTCCATACTCAGTTAAATGTTCCTGATAGCCTATGGATTTTATAATGACTAATCGTCCGATTCCTAGGAAGACTAGTGGCCAAACAGAGTACAATGACTTTGTAAGATAATAAAATCTGGACCCGTCAGTGTATTTTCTCCTAACCTCTGGACAAACCATTGCAGTCCCAAAAATAAAACCTCCTACTCCAAAATCCATTGCTCCTGTCCCATAGAGCTCAGTTTTGGCAAATCTTCTGGGAAAAAGTGGGAAGTCCACAGCCAAAATGGCAATAGCAGTAAATGCACTGTTAATTACACGGAAACAAGAGATGGCTGGAACGTATTCTAATTCTAGACCAATTTTCAAGAATTTTTCAAGTATTTTCTGGACAGGCATTCTGGCACAGCAAGTTCTCCTGCAGTATATTTGATAGAATAGCCCTGCCCCAAGGATAATTACAGCAAGGTGCTCAAGGAGGACAAATGAAGACAAAATGGTCAAAGTGGCCACCAGGGGAACTATTAGGAAAACAAAGTCAGTGAAGAATCTAGTTCTCCAGGTATGTGAAGAACACAAGTGCTGTGAGAGAATGATCAGGAGCCCTCTGCACAGGATACAGAATGCAGGTAAGCATAGGCCCTGGGTGACTTCCAACACGCTGGTTCCATTGTGGTTACTGACAAAAGCTTCCTTCTGCTTTTGAGACATTTTTTCTTCTTCCTGTGAAAATAAGAGCAAAGGGATGCATTGGAAAAACAGTGTTCTTCTGGAATAGGCATATATATGTAGAGGACTTGATTTTACTTTTTTTAAAGATTTATTAGCACGTACGTGTGTGCAGGTAGGAGCAGAGGGAGAGAGAAACTTAAGCACACTCCTCACTAAGCTCAGAGACTGACAGGAGGCTCGACTTTAAGATCCTGAGATCATGACCTGAGCTGAAACCAAGAGTCTGGTGCTTAAACACCTGCCCCACCCAGGGGCCCGATTTTACTTTTATTCCTAGATTTCAGAGCAGAACTTTAGGCCTAATGATTTCAAATCAGGGCAGGAACTAGAATTTGTGATTCCCCTTCTAAGGATTGTGGGAAGAAGCCTAACACCTCAGGATAAGAATGTCAGGGCACCTCGGTGGCACATTCGGTTATGCATCCGACTCTTGGTTTCAATTCATGTCCTGCTGAGATTAAGCCCCACCACTGGCTCTGTGCTCAACCCAGAGTCTGAAATTCTCTCTCCCTCTCCAACTAGTGCTCTCACTCTCTCAAGTAAATAAATACATCTTTAAAAAAAGAAAAAGAAAAAAGGAGGGGCCCCTGGGTAGCTTAGTTGGTTAAGCATCTGCCTGGGGCTCTCTGCTCAGCAGGGAGTCTGCTTCTCCCTCTGTGCTCTCTCAGGTAAATAAATAAAATCTTGGGGCACCTGGGTGGCTCAGTGGGTCAAAGCCTCTGCCTTCGGCTCAGGTCATGATCCCAGGGTCCTGGTCATCGGGCTCTCTGCTCAGCGGGGAGCCTGCTTCCTCCTCTCTCTCTGCCTGCCTCTCTGCCTACTTGCGATCTCTGTCAAATAAAGAAATAAAATCTTCAAAATAAATAAAGAAATACAATCTTTTAAAAAGGCTAGGAATGTCATGCCAATAGTATGAAATTATTGGTTAATGAGCTGTAGCTATTCTCTATATAATGCAGACTCACAAAGAAAGTTACTTTGGGATATAAATCCTGAAAATGGAATCAGAGTCAGAAACGAATTTCTATTACAAACATGTAATATGCTATTAAAATTTTGTAATGCAAACAAAACTAATGACTTCAAGTCAAATCAGAAGAGGACAGGGAGAAAGAAGATACTTAAGTACACGCTGGAGTTGGGAGACCTTGGTTTGTGTGAAAATCCTCTCTGAACCCATTGCCTCCAATACAAAATACTAGACCTCCAGTGACATCCTGAGCCCCGGGCTGCTCCCTACCTCATTCACAGTCATGCTTTCAGGTTAGGGTGGAGATGGGTAGAGTGGATGCTAATCCTCGGAAAGGGGGCGAACGTCTAGGAAAGGCCTGGATGTAGAGCACACGCTAGTATTCGTGGTTTCAAAGAGCTGTAAAACACCTCTCTCATATTTCAAAGTCTTTAAAGGGGCACACAGAAAGAACACGTTTGTTGACTAAACCAGAACCATGTAGAACAAATGGATGCATGCGTGCCTGACGGCCTGAGCCAGCGATAATTTCACAGGGTAACAAACCGATCAGAATCGTCTGGCTTTTAGAAATAAAGGAGTCTTTTTCCTGACGGACACGCGCCACGGCCGCGCCGTCCCTTACACCTCACGTGCCTTCGATGTTCCGGCGCCCCGGTGGCCGGCAGTCTACTTGGGCCGGGCTGCACGACTCCCACCGTAGCCGCAGAGCCATGCCAGAGCAACCCGCTTCCGCCTCCAGAGCCGCGCTTCCGGCCGACGTGGGGCAGCCTGCGCTTCCGGGCCGGCGGATTCTGCGCACGCGCGCACCCCTGCCAGGACCCGATCCCGTTTCCCGAACGCTTAGGCTCTGCATGCCAATTCTTGCCTGTGGTGGGCTTTCCGCGCCCAGGTCCGTCAGAGCAGCCCGGAGCAGGCGTGTCACGCGCTTCACCGCGGCCCCTCGAACCTCACGACGAGTCTCTCAGAGTGGTGGGGTCACGGGACCCGGCTCAGTGTTCGACCACGGCGTCCTCTACCGAAGGACCCCAGGCCCTGTGAGACCCTGGAGGCCCCGCCTCCCGCGCCTCTCCCACGGGAATACGGGAGGCCAGCGTCTCAACCCCATCTTACCCCAGGTTCTCGAAATACTTTGCCCCAGCTGCAGCCCCTAATTCCGACCCGGGCATCCAGAGCGGGCCACGTGCGCCCGGAGCCCAGTGCGCGCCCCACCCCGGGGGAGGAGCCGGCTGGCTCCTGGCCACTGGGCCCGAGCGACGGCCGGCCGGTGCGCTTTGGCTGTCCCGGCTTCCTCTCCTCCCCGGCTCGCTCCCGCCCTCTCTTCTTCCCTCCCCTCCCCGGGCTCTTCCCGCCGTCTCTCGCAGCCTGCCTTTCAAGTCGCGCCTGGCGAGGGCCACGCACTCGGCGGCTCGGGCCGTGGGACTGGTGAGTGTCACCCCCAGCCCAAGTCCGAAGCGCTTCGCGAGCCCGAAAGGGCGAGGAGGCCGGTCTGCCCCCGGAGCGCTGAGGAACGGGGGGCATTTTCCTCTCCTTTTTCCAAAGCGCCTTTGCCTACCCTTTCTCATTTCCTTTTTGACTGTCTAGTATCTCAGCAGGGGGCAGCCCAGCTCTTGGCCCTTGCCTAGAAAAAGAAACTTTCAGGGTCCCCGTTCCACCTCTCCACCTTGGTGGCAGGCGGCGGTTCGGGGTCGGGAAAAGGTTTCAGCTGGGAGGCCGAGTCCCGTCTCCTGCCCTTATTTTCTCACTCCTAGGGACCGGGGAAGGGGCTGCTGGCCCGGATAAGCGTCAGGGCAGCCGCGCCCTTGGCTGGGGTCACATCCACCTTCCTGGGAAGGACACACTCTCCCCGTACCAGGTGCTTCCGGAGCGGCGTCCCAGCGGGCACCTCGTCCAAAGAGGGAGTCCTGGTTCCCGCTGGGAACCCGGGGGCGGGTCCAGCTGGGTTCCCGGGACCCTTACCCAGCTCTTCTCACTCGCCCTCCCACTGTCCTCCAAGCCGAGCACGAACTGGCTGGGGAGGAGGAGGAGGAGCTAGTGATCAGGTTGTCTCTTGCCCTGACTCGGAGTTTCATCTGCATGTTACCATCTCCTTTCTGCCCACAGTGGTCACACCCTTTCCAGAAATTCTTGGTTGGTAACCGCGAAGCTGGGAGAACTGGAGAAAACCGCTCTAATCTGACTTGACTCTGGCTGGGTACGGAGGCTGCATCATCAAAACCAACATTTGCAAAGCGTTCTCTGAGGTACTAGCCCAATTGATCCTTACCTCAGTATTCTGAGGTGTAGGTATTAGTATTCCTTTTTGCAAACGAGTAAACGGAATAAGGCTTAGAGAGCTCTTGTGATCTGTCTTGGAGGAGTTGTGGGCTTTGATTTCTAACTCCACAACCTATTATGCTCCCCCTAATCCTCTCTTTTAAAATGAGCTTCAAGTTGAGGGAGCTTTGTTCTCCTTGACTCTCTGGTTGCCCTCTCCATGGCTGTCCGTTATATGGTCATGTCCCCATATGGTCAATGTCCAAGGTGAATATGCCCAACACATTCCTGATGCTCTTCTCTGCCCTTTTTTCCAGCTTGTATGAAGTCCCTATCCCTGAAGTCTTTCACATGCTAGATATATTCAGAGCCTCAAACAAGTCTCTGCCAGGGTCATTCCATTACAGACACCCCTCATCCTCATCCCTCCTTGCCAGGGAGGTGTAATGCCTGGGAAATTCTAAGTCTTAGGGTCTCTTAACAGATTTTCAGAGATTGGCCTCGGTATAGCCTCACAATACCCCCTTCTCAGATTTTCCTCCTCTGAAATCTTTGCATTTTTAAAGTTGACACTGGACTCTTCTACCTGATTAGTGTCCCCAAATGGATTATCCATCCTCCGTAGTCCTTACTAGTAATAACAATATTCCCCCTCTGACTGAATTTCAGATTTATACTCCATGACATCATTGACCTTCACAACTACTCCTTGTGAGGTCAATTTTACTACCTCCATTTTCAAGATGAAGGATGAAGGTGGGCCAGGAAGGTGATCAGTGGCTTTCCTGTGAATGAGCTATGATTTTGCTCCCACACAACTGCTTTCCTAGAGCATCAAGAATTGACTTCAGCCTCCCTGGTCTATCAATTACTCGCTATACAAAAATAGGATTTTTCTGTTTACTGGAGAGGGTAGGGCATGAGACTTCTCTGTCTCCCAGTGTCTCCATCCTCCACAGCATTGATTCAGAACATATGCAGCCCCACCCCAAACCTCTGTAGTAAAACTGTCCCTGAAGAGCCTGGGGAGCCCCTGGAGGCTCTCATAAAAGTTTCCCCTGTTCCCTAATTGTCAGGGGATAGGACAGACTTTCCCTCTCTGCCCAGGCTCGCCTTGATTCTTGTTTTGATTCCCCTTGCTTGGTGGGAGGAGCATGAGTGAGTCACCCTGAAGAAACCCTCACTCGTGTTTGGCCCTTGTCTTCTCTCTCATGTCATAGGCTCTGAGGTGACTCATCTCAGATTCCTCCAGAACTGAGCCTTTTGCTGGACCTATGTTCCAACCTGTGCCTCCATGACCAGGTGGCTAGCACTCCTCGTGCCTATGACCCAGAACCCTGGCTGACCACACTGAGGCAGGATGCTCCAACAGGTAAAACCTCACCCTTAGGTAACCTAGGCCCTGAAGCATCTAAGGCACTTCCCATCTGTCAGTTAGGTGGCTGAATGACATTTCTACTTACCCTGACCTGGAAGGAAGGGAAAGATCCCTTAAAGGTCTTTCTTCTCGCTCTTGACCTAGTCACTCCAGTGCCTTTCACCTGTCATTGAGAGGCTTTTCCTGATACCTAATTTGAATCTCTCTTATTGTGGTCTTTAGCCCTTTTTTCTGGGATGAGTAAGATGGGACGGGTAAGATGGGATGGGGAGGGGACTCCTTGGAGTACTTTGGTGACTTCACAAGCCTGAACCAAGGAGGGAGTCCTGAGAGATGTCCCTGCCAGCCTGAACTGTTGAGGTACAGTGAAGGCCTGAGGCTTCCAAGAGGAGGTATTCTTTGAAGCTGAACCTTAAAGAATATGTAGGAATTAGCTAGGTGGAGAAGGGAAGTAAGCAGTCCAAGCAGAGGTGTCAGTGCAAAATGTGGGTGAAGATACCTGCATGGAAATACAGGAGTCTGATGAATGGATCATGAAGTGCATGGTGAGGGGTTGCTATTGTGGCCCTTACGCCAGGCCTCTGCCTCTCTAAAAATTCTACTGTGGCCCCAGGCCTTCAGGAGTCCAAATCACCCATCTCCTATCTGTATCATCCTTCTTATGCAGCTCTCGCTCCAAAGAGAATGCCAGTAGATAGATACTTGCTGCATTTTTATTTACAAAATGTGGCCAGGCACTGGGCTGAGGCAGATGTCTAAGGTGATACCTGCTCTCCAGGAGCTCACAGTCTGGTGGAGTCCTAGGCAGGTAAGTGCCTGAGACTTATTAGGATGACCAGGTGGAAAGCTAGCCAGCCTCAAGCCAGCCCTGGTAGACACTACTGCTTGATCATCTTCCAGACTTTTGTCTTATGAAATGAGCTTGAGACTGAGGAGAAGCTGGCAGGACAATTGTCTGCTCTGGGCTTTTTTATGTTTAACTTTTTTTTTTTTTTTTTTTCTTATTAAAAAAGCAGTAATGTTCATCATAACCATACTGGCAGCTGCTCTGTGTTGAGCCCCACCTAAGTAGTAGGTACTAGTCTAAGCATTTTACGTGAATAATTTTGTTTAGTCCTCAGGTAAGTTACAGTGTTACATGTATAGAGCTACTATATCCCCATTTTGGAGATAAAGGTCAGAGAGGTTATGTGACTTATTCAAGGTCACATTCACCATAAGCAATGTGGAAAATATAAGAAACAAGAACATTAAAATTACCTGTAAGAATACTACCCAGAGATAACATTTTAGAAAATATCCTTTTTTCCCCTAAGTATATATTTTTAAAATGTTTGAAGCTATCATACTTTTTTGTAACCTGCTTTATTCCTTTGTAAGGATATACTATAAATTGTCCACCATTAGGACATGTGAGTTGTTTTCAATTTTTTTACCATTATAGATAGCTCAATATATACTGAATATATATTTCAGTGGCCTATGGCCTTTACATAGCATCATTTTCTAAAAGAATTGCGGGCTAAAGAGGTGTGTGCTTTTCAGGCCTTGATATATCATTGCCTAATTAAAGAAGAGCTGTTTTTAAAAGAATAATAATAGCTAACTTTGGGTGCATATACCAGGTACCTTCTCTAAATACTTGATGTGCTTATTAGGGTCTGACGTAGGTGCTATTCAGCATTCCCATTTTATAGATGAGAAAAACTGAAGCACAGAGAGCTTAAGTAATTTATATAACATTATGCAACTAGTAAGTGGTAGAATCAGAATTCAGATCCAGAAAATCTAGCTTTAAGGTCTAGGCTCTTGGCTGTTATACTCAGCTACCTAACTGGTTGGATCAGAGCTGATTTTAAAATATGGCTTGGCTTGTGATTCCCCCCCCCCCCCATCCCCAGAATAGAGTGATTTGCATGGTTCCAGCCATGGTCTAACCTCAGCATTTATCCTGGAGGCCAAGAGCCTGCCTTGTGAATTATGGTGGACCTACATTCAGAGAACAGGCAACATCTTTGGAAAGAAACTTGTTGCTGGGCCTCTCAAATGACACTTCCCACCTTGGGAACTTCGAACTTTTCAGATTCACTAATCTCATTGAAACCTACACAGTCGTATTATGGATTCCCTTCTCCAAAAGCATATTTCATCCGGGTACTACTGTCTTCTACTCCCCACCCCATCTTCATTGCAGTCTCCAGAGAGATAAGAGGAAAAATGAGAAATATGGAAAGAAGAAACATGTGGAAAGTGTTGGCATCAAGGATCGGAAAGGGCGAAAGAGAAACAGCCTTTTCCCCTTGGTGCCTGTTCTTAACCTCATCCAACTTCCAAGTCAGGCTCCCTGTCAGGTGGACCCAGGGCAGAGGAAGCTAACTAAATAGCCAGGCTAAATTTAAGCCCAGAGAGCCAGGTGATGAAGGCATGGGACTACCTCACAGCTGGTTTTTCATCACATGGTAAATGTTCTCTTTCAAAAAACGCCCAAACCATGGTTCTTTCCTGGGGGAGGGGTGGTTTGTGATCCCGTATAGCAGTCCCCACCTTGGTCCTCACCCCTACCAGGCCCAGTAAGGCTGGTGGCCGGCAAGCCTGGAAGCTGGCACTCATTCAGAGGAGAGGGGATAGCATTTTTTCGTTTACTGAGTACACACTGTGCCAGGCACTAAGTGCTTTAGGTGTCTCTTTATCTTTCTGTCCAGTAGCCCTGCAAACTGGTTTTATTTTCCTTTATTTACAAATAAAGAAGCTGTGGCTCAGAGAAGTTAAGTAACTTAACGAGGCTCACAGTCAGTATGTGGCAGAACTGAAATTTTAATCTAACCAGATTATGGTAGTAGAAGCCTGTTCTCTTTCTTCAGACCCTCACCCTTATATTACTGCCAGCTGGTCTCAGTCCCAGCTTTCATGGCCCTCTTCTCATGGCTTCTCAGGTTAATGGTCACAGTTCAGGCTCTGGTGCCCAAGGTGGGGAGTCTCTCAGAGAAGACCTGCAGGAGTTCCTGAGCGGGGAAGCCCCGCTGCACCAGCTAGATGACCTCACCAAGGTGAATCCTGTGACACTGGAGACAGGTATGGGCCTCCCTCTCCTCGACAATGCCGTCTCCAAAGCAGCCCTTGGTGCTTGCCTGGCTCAGTTGGTGGAGCGTGCCGCTCTTGATCTTGGGCCTGTGGGTTTGAGCCTCGTGTTGGGTGTAGAGATTACTTAAAAATAAAATCTTAAAAAAGGTGCCATCTCCAAGAGCGTGGAGATGATGTGGGTAGTCCGCACAGCTTTCCCTGGCCAAACCAAGGCAGGCAGGACCTCGAGCCAGATAGGCTGCTCCAGACCTCTGCCTGGCAGCTGCACACAGACTCCCCAGGGCAGACTTTGCTCCAGATTTGGGGCTCATCTTAATTAGATCTTGTACCTATTCATCAGGGAGCTGCTGGGATCTAAAGGCACTTGGCTAATTGCTAGTAGCACTGTTAGGCCAGTGTTTGTGTGGGCAGTTGTGTCTATATTTGAGCCAGAGTTTGCTAAAGGTGCCTTTGCCTCAGTCTTGAGGTGTTTGCAGGCTCGGTACGCAGCAGACACGTTCTACACCAATGCTGGCTGCACCCTGGTCGCTCTGAACCCCTTCAAGCCTGTCCCTCAGCTCTATTCACCAGCACTGATGAGAGAGTACCACGCTGCTCCTCAGCCCCAGGTAAGACTCAGCCACATCCTGGGCCTCAGGGCTCCGCCATATCCCCTAGGCCTCCTTGCAGCTTCCCCATCATTATCTATCTATTCACCAGCCATGCGGTCATTCAGAGTCTGCTGGTGCCACGGCCCTGCCCACCAAGGGATTGAAGAATTCTGGATACAGGACAGGTGCAAAATGAGATATAAATAAATATTTGTTTAACTGAGTTTGGAACCTAAAATAAAAAGATAGGATAACGGATTTTTTTTTCTTGTTTGTGACGTTATTAATAGGGACAGATTTATGAAGGTATATTTGTGTATTTAATGAACATTTTTGGGGGGGAGAATAAAATTATGTATAATAAGGAGGGCCCTAGAAAATTCAGCACTTGTTCCTCTCCTCCAAGAGGAATGAGAGGAAGAACTTCTGGTGGGGTTGGAGTTGGAGCAGGCAGCAAATAAGCTAGCTGGTGTTTAAGTGCATGATGTCCTCAGAGAGAGGGAAGAGCAAACTTGCTGGCAGGAAGGGTGCTGTCAAGGAGAGAGACAGCAGATGAGATGGGAAGATGAGACAATCCAGGGCTGCTGGGAAGGGTCTGAGGCAGCACAGCAGGTGGAATATATCCACGGTGCTGCTCCCCCAGGGGTGGAGGGACTGACTGGAGCCCGCCATGGGGATAATTACTCTGGAAGCTGGGGGAGTCAAGTTCAGAAAGGTGAAACAAGATATAGGGAGAACAGGGGCGCCTGGGTGGCTCAGTGGGTTAAAGCCTCTGCCTTCGGCTCAGATCATGATCCCAGGGTCCTGGGATCGAGCCCCGCGTCGGGCTCTCTGCTCATCAGAGAGCCTGCTTCCTCCTCTCTCTCTGCCTGCCTCTCTGCCTACTTGTGATCTCTGTCCATCCAATAAATAAGTAAAATCTTCAAAAAGAAAAAAAAAAGATATAGGGAGAACAGTTGGAGGCTTTTAACAGTTCAGGGAAGAGGAGGCTGGGGCAGAGGCAGGTGCAGAGAGGGAAGGCTCTGTCACTATCCACAGCAGTGCCTTCTCTCCAGGAATCTGTGGGTAGATGATGATTGCTGGGTGGGCCATGCTGGGCTGGCTAAGCATTGTGCAGATGGCCTGGCCCCTCAGAAGCTCATGCATGGTTAAGTGTCTAAGTCTTCCCTGAGAGCCCATATCTCACTGAGAGCCTCTTCAAAGGCAAAAGCCATGTCATGGTTTCCTGTTTCCCCAGTGCCCAGTTTAATGCCTAGCATATTGAGGATAATTAGTATTTGTAGATGGAAAGAAGAATAGTGGCCTTGAAATTCAAGTCACATGGTCACAATTACTTGCTGAGTGGCCTTGGGAAGGTTATTTAATACCTCCAAACCTCGGATTTCTCGTCCATAAAATAGGATTAGCTATCCATCTAATGGATAGGTTTCTTAGGCAGTAACTTGTAGGAAAGTTCTTTGCATGCTGCAGAGTACAGTAACATAAAATAATAAGCAGCAGAATAAGACTTAAGGTAAGATAAAATGGGAGGACGAAATGTTAAGGTTATAGACTGGTCAAGGCCAGCGCTGCTTCCATACTAAGAGAAGGTGAGTGGATACAGCCATCGTAGGGGTCTCACAGTTGGGTCTAACACTGTTATATCCAAGAGATTTTTCTAGAGGAAACCTCCTGGCACTGTTGTTGGCAGCCTCCCCTCTCAGCCGTCATTTGATCAACCACTCCTTGGAGACAGGCGTTCCCTTATGTGACCTCTCCCTCCTTGATGTTTTAGAAACTGAAGCCCCACATCTTCACTGTGGGTGAACAGACCTACAGGAATGTCAAGAGCCTGATTGAGCCAGTCAACCAATCTATCATTGTCAGCGGAGAGAGTGGTGCTGGAAAGGTAGGAGGGCCTCTTTCTTACCCTGTCAACTTTTTGACTGGTGGGGTGGGCAGAGAAGAAGGAGGTCATTCCTTGTGGAGTCGTTTGCTGCCTAGTCATTCCCAGATAGGCTGGCTAAAGCAGGGACTCAGCATGCAGCGGTAAGCAAGCACTGGGCAGGAAGTCAAGACACAGCGTTTTAGTCCAGGCTCTTCCATGTAACCCTGGGTGAGATACTTTTTCTCTCAGTCTTCATTTTTCTCCTCAAAGGTCTCAGCTCTGACACCACTGGAAACAAAAGTCAGCTGTTGGGGATTCCAGAATATGGTTAAGAGGTTCTGCAAACCTCAGTTCTTTGATTTGTAACATGACAGGGATAGAACCAACTTGAAAATCATGGGACTCCTACGAGAGTTAAATGGACCAGTGCACATAGGCACTTGGTGGCACACTTGGCACGTGGCAGCACTCTAGAAGTACCTGGGGTTACTGGTGGGAAAAGGTTTAATGGAGTAGTCCACCCATTACATGGGTTGGCCATGATGGCAAGGACAGTGCATTGGGCCAGCTGTGGGGAAGGACAGAATCATTTGATGCAGTCATGTGGCTCCCTGGGTGCCCAAACCACAACAGGTGAGACAGAATGCTACACAGGGCTGGTTCAGGAGTTGCACAGCTGGTCAGAGGAGGCCACCAGGCCAGGCCTCGCCACCTTTTTGCCAAGGCTTACCCAGCCACCCCACCCTTTCCACAACGCTTTTACCATCACAAGGGATTTTTTAGATCATAAACTGCCTCTGCCTATACTTACATGTGAGAGAATTGCTGAGCACTGAGCACCTGCCAGCCTCTAGGCCGTGGGCTAGCCACTAAAGAGTGGCAGAGGAAGGAACAGAGATGAAAAATGCAACATACGGCTTCCAGGGGGCTCTTAGTTCACTGGGAAAGACAAGGAAACAGGTGAAAATAGTAAGCTGCAGGGATAACAGCTTGGACTTGGGTGTGGAGAAGGTCTTCAAGAGCTCTTTCAAAGTGGCCAGTGCAGTGGCTCATACCCAGCTCGTAGAGGAAGCCCATCGTCCTCCAGAATTGCTCTGGGGAGCAGGGGCGGACCTGGCCTAAAACCCATGCCACCGGAGCTCAGTAACTTTATTGACCAGCCGCTATGGTCTTTTGCTGGGTCTGTATTTTTTTTTAAGCTCATTTTTAATAAGTAGTAGCATAATTACATAGTTCAAAAATCAAGCAATACCACAAGGCTTACAAAGAAAAAGAGTAGGGGCACCTGGGTGGCTCAGTGGGTTAAGCCTCTGCCTTCGGCCCAGGTCATGATCTCAGGGTCCTGGGATCGAGGCCCGAATCAGGCTTTCTGCTCAACAGGGAGCCTGCTTTCCCCCTCTCTCTGCCTGTTGCTCTGCCTACTTATGATCTCTCTGTCAAATAAATTAAAAAAAAAAAAAAAAAAAAATAGTAGCCCTACCCATATCTACAAAGACTATCGCTCTCTTCCAGAGGCAACAACTTTCATATCTTCTAGCAGTTTATTTGGGCATTTGCGTCAGTATTTCTTTTTTTTTTTTTTTTAAGATTTTATTTATTTATTTGACACAGAGAGAGATCACAAGTAGGCAGAGAGGCAGTCTGAGAGAGAGGGGGAAGTGGGCTCCCCACTGAGCAGAGAGCCTGATGCGGGGCTCCATCCGAGGACCCTGAGATCATGACCTGAGCCGAAGGCAGAGGCTTAACCCACTGAGCCACCCAGGCACCCCACATCCATATTTCTAAACAACATCCTTTTATTAAGTTTTCAGTTTTTTACCTTATCGTTCATTTTCAGGTATGATGAGGATTTAGCCCTATTTCTCTGCCCCCAGATACATAAATGTCACGATTTCTAGTTAATATGCAGTATTACAGCCATGTATATATTGCTCATAGCAAAGCAGTATAATAAACTATCCTTTCTTATATAATTTTACTTTCCCTCTACTTCATAATTGCCCTGCTTGTTCACTTGTTTAGTTTCTGTATACCTATTATTAAGTTATTACTAAACCTATCACCAAAGCTGCATAACACCTGTCCACTGGCCAGAATATCAGATCCTTTTTTTTTCTTGGTGATGTTCTTCCCAGAGCTCCCAGATCTCTGGCTCCCACCTGGACTGGTGGCTGTCAGTGGGTGTTGCCACACATTTATTACTTGGGAGCTTCTCTGCCTCACTCCGGGATCCCCCAATTGCCCTTTGTCCTATGACAAACCCCCTGCCCCCCAAAAAACTGTTGCTGGAGCCTATGGCTTCAGCTTCTTTTTTTTTTTTTTTTTTAATTTTTTTTTTTTTTTTTTTTTTTTAATTTTTATTTATTTATTTGACAGAGAGAGATCACAAATAGGCAGAGAGGCAGGCAGAGAGAGAGGAAGGGAAGCAGGCTCCATGCTGAGCAGAGAGCCCGATGCGGGACTTGATCCCAGGACCCTGAGATCATGACCTGAGCCGAAAGCAGCAGCTTAACCCACTGAGCCACCCGGGTGCCCTGGCTTCAGCTTCTTAACGGCCTTGTTTTTATGGAGCACGTTCTTTAGTAGCTTCTTGGAAAAGGTACATGTGGGCAGATTTTTGAGTTGTTGCACCTCTGAAAATGTTTATTTTGCCTCAAATTTTATATGTTGGCTGGATTTTATAATTCCAGGTTGGAGACCATTTTCTTTCCAAATTTATAAGGTTTTTTTCCTTCTCTGTTTTTTGAGTGTTGTGATTGAGAGTCCCAATCCATAATGGTGATTTGTGTTTTGTTTTGTTTTGTTTTGTTTTTCAAAAGCTTTTAGAGTCTTAATTATTATTCATAGGTATTAAAACTCACAGTGCTGTGTCTTGGTATGGTTGTTTTGTTTTGTTTCATTTGCTGAGCTGGATATTTTGTGTGGATTTTTTTAACCTGTTCTTTTGTTGGGGGAAATTTTTATTACAGCTAATAATTTAATAATTTCCTCCCTTCTGTTTTCTCTTTTTGGATCTCCTGTTAGAAAGAAGTTTGATTAATTATCTAATATTCTTATTTTTCTCACTTATTCTTCTGTCTCTTAATATTTTTGTTTTACCTTCTGGGAGATATTCTCTACCTTCCAATTTTTTGGATTTTTTTTTTTTTAAGATTTTTTATTTATTTATTTGACAGAGAGAGAGAGATCACAAGGAGGCAGAGAGGCAGGCAGAGAGAGAGAGGAGGAAGCAGGCTCCCCGCCGAGCAGAGATCCCGATGCGGGGCTCGATCCCAGGACCCTGAGATCATGACCCGAGCCGAAGGCAGAGGCCTTAACCCACTGAGCCACCCAGGCGCCCCAGTTTTTTGGATTTTTGTTAAAAAAGGTTAATTCTGAGAGTTCCTCTTGTTCTCTGAATATTATTCCCTACTGCCCCACCATCCTGGTCTTATTTCACAGATCAGTATTTTTTTTTCTTTTAAGATTTTATTTATTTATTTGACAGAGATCACAAGTAGGCAGAGAGGCAGGCAGAGAGAGAAGGGGGAAGCAGCCTCCCTGCTGAGCAGAGAACTGGATGCGGGGCTCGATCCCAGGACCCTGAGACCATGACCCGAGCCGAAGGCAGAGGCTTAACCCACTGAGCCACTCAGGCGCCCCAAGTTTTTTTTTTTTTTTTTTTTTTTTAATTTTTTTTACACAGAGAGAGATCACAGGTAGGCAGAGAGGCAGGCAGAGGGGGGGGGAAACAGGCTCCGTGCTGAGCAGAGAGCCCAATGCAGGGCTCAATCCCAGGACCTGAGCCGAAGGCAGAGGCTTAACCCTCTGAGCCACCCAGGTACCCCTCAGTATCTTATTTTTGAGGATACTTCATGATTTTGTCTTCTGCTCCTTGCATTGACTTTTGTTTTCTTCTAGTTCCTTTTCCTTCATTTGTTGTGATATTTGTCATTTGTATAAAAGAGATTTATCAAATAGTTGATGATCACTAAGTTTCTGTTCATATTTAAGAATAAGGCATTAAATGCTTCATTAAGCAACTGATTAGAATCTTCATGTTTATAGATAGGATTGTCAACCAGGGAGCCTCACTGTAGGTAGCTTTTGAAACCTGTGGGACCCTGAATGTCCACAACTTTTCTCATAAGCTTGTCAGGCTCCAGAAAAGATTCTTTAGCAGAGATATGGAAATTATAAAGAGTTAAATGAAAACGATAAAAAGTAAAAGTATAATGAATAATTGTTTCATGCTTATCTACAGACCAGACTTGCAGATGAACACATCAGTGAATTTGAGAGTAAATCAATAGAAATAATTCAAATTGAGAAACAGAGAGAAGCACATCTGAGAGCTGTGGTACGGTAGCCCATGGTCTACCATAGTTGTTCTTGGTGCACCAGGAGAAAGAGAACATATGGGTCAGAGGTTATACCTTACACAATGAACAAAAGATGACAAGCACAGATCCAAGAAGTTCAAAAAGCAAAAGCAGATGAATACAAAGAAAACAAATTGCTGGAAACCAAACATAAGGAGCAAACTTTTATGGGAACCAGAAAAAAAGAAATATTATGGAAAGAGGAACAAAAATAAGAGTGACAATGGGCATCTTTCAAAAACTGCAAGCCCAGGGATGCCTGGGTGGCACAGTCAGTTGAGCATCTGACTCTTGATTCCAGTACAGGTCATGATGTCAGGGTGGTGGGATCAAGCCCTGCGTCGGGCTCCACACTCAGCACAGAATCTGCTTCAGATTCTCTTTCCTTCCCTCTGCCCATCCTGCTCATGCTCTCTCTCACTCTCTTGCTCAAAAAATAAGTCAGTCAATCTTTTTAAAACAAAAACAAACAAGCAAAAAAACTGCAGGCCCAAAGGTAGTAGCAACATCTTTAAAGTGCGGAAAGAAAAAAGTGCTGAAAGAAAATATCTGTTGGGGCACCTGGCTGGCTCAGTAGAGCATGCAACTCTTGATCTCAGGGTTATGAGTTTGAGCCCCACATTGGGCATATAGAGATTACTTAATAAATAAGAAAGTTGGGGTTGGGGTTTGTTTCGTTTTGTTTTGTTTTGTTTTTAAGAAAAAAATATTTGTCAACCTAGAATTCTGTTACGAGGAAAAATACCAAAATATCTTAAAAAATGTAAAACAAGGGATGCCCGGCTGCTCGTCAGTGGAGCATACAACTCTTGATCTCAGAGTTGTGAGTTCAAGCCCCACGCTGAGCTTTACTTTAAAATGTTTTACTTTAAAATTTTACTTTAAGATTACTTTAAAAAAATTTTTTTAAATTTTTAAAAAATGGAAATGAACTAAAGACGTTCAGACAAAAGTTGAAGGAATTCATTGCCAATAGGCCTATACTACAAGAAACATTAAAGTTCTTTAGGCCAAAGGAATATGAAACCATGTGAATATTTGGATTGATACAAAGGAGTAAAGAGCATTGGGGATGTGATATTTTTTATCTCTAAAAGAAAACTCATTTTGCGGGGGCCTGGGTGGCTCAGTTGGTTAGGCATCTGACTCTCAGTTTCAGCTCAGGTTGTGATCTCAAAGGTTGTGAGATTGAGCCCTGCATCAGGCTCCCTGCTCAGCAGAGCCTGCTTCTCCCTCTCCGGGTCCCCTCTGCTGTGTTCCCTCTCTCGCCGTCTCCTTCTGTGAAGTAAATAAAATCTTTAAAAGGAAAAAAAAAAATGCACAGAAAGCATCCATATTAGCTCAGTGCCTGTCATAGAATGGTCAGTTTTAGCTGTGAGCCCTCAGAGACACTGAGTAGCCTGCCCAGGTCAAGGTCGGTTGTCCCTTCTCCTGGCTTCCTTCATTTCTTAAAGGTGTCCTCTGGAACTAGGAGCAGCAGAAGTGAGCAACCCCCCATTTCACAGATGGGGGAATTGCCTTGCCCAAGGACACAGTTGAATTCAGCATTCCCCCTTTTGGTCAGCACTGTGCCTGATGGAGAAGAGGGCTCTGGTGGGCCCCATATCCTGAGGTACAGTGGGAGGGACGTGGACACGGCTCCCAAGGGGTTGTTTCTGCCACAGACATGGACGTCCCGCTGCCTGATGAAGTTCTACGCTGTGGTGGCTGCCTCACCCACATCCCAGGAGAGCTATAAGATTGCAGAGCGGATTGAACAGCGAATCTTGAACTCCAACCCTGTCATGGAAGCTTTTGGTGAGCTTGGTGTCCTCTGAATAGTACCTTGATTCTATTTCCCCTGGAATTTGCCACCTCCCAAGGAGAGGGGTAGTGCTTTGAGTCCATCTCTGGGAGTTGGAGGATGAGAGTATCACTCACTGCCTTGGACCCGCAACCTCCCAGGTGCCCTTGGGCTCCTTCCATTAGAGTCACCCCCTCCTCTGGGCTAGGCAGATGTAACAGTGTGCCAGAGAGGACCTTGTGGCTCACCTTGTTCAAATCCTGTTCTTACGTATGGTTTCCTGAGGGTTCAGAGAAGGGGACTTGTCTAAGAGTGCTCATCAGTGAGTGTCCATGTTGTGACTTGAGCCTAGGTGCGTCTGGCTGGGCCCACAGCTGTCCCGAGGCAGAGCAGAGATAAGTCTGTTGTACCTAGATGTTGTCTAACTCAGTAGTGACAGCTTGTTGGTTTTGGCCCTTTCCCTTCAAAGAATACAGTCCCTGACCACCTAGGCTTGCTCATTCCAGTTCGTTGCCAAGAAGCTCTAACCCTCCTGAAACACATTTGCTGAAGCCCAAGTGCCCATTCCCTAGTCCTGTCCCCTATGACACGGAAACCCATAAAGGGGCTGTTAGGTGACTTGAGGATAGGGACGTGCCCTCATCCCGGCCCACGAGAACCCGGTCACACCGGGGGAGTGGTATGAACCTAGGTGTGATCTGTAGGGAATGCGTGCACCCTGAGGAATAACAACAGCAGTCGCTTTGGGAAGTTCATCCAGCTCCAGCTAAACAGGTAATGGCTGCTGCCACTCTGGCTGAGGGAAGGACGGGGATGGGGAGTCTGAAAGTGGCTAGGGCAGCTTCCAGCCTGGGCTGCTCCTCTGGGCAGAACCCTGCCCCTCCTGGCATGTAATGTTTATGGAATAAATGAACCTGAGGGTGATCTTTGAACCTGGAGAATTCTAGCTACTCCAGCCTCTAAAAGACACTGAGGCAGTGTGCTTATCATGGCCTATGAGTTCCTCCTGGCTTCTACCCTGGTTCAGGGGCTTCCAGTTAAACCACCACCTCTCTGGATTGCACCCCTGAGCTTGAAGCAGGGGTTTCTTTACCTGCCTTGAGTTGGGACAAAATGGTATATAGAGGCCTTGGCCCTGTCCACCTGAGCTGGTCACCGGGGAATGTTCTAGACGACCCAAGGACCTGCCAGGTGGTCCCTAGTGCTCAAGACCCACTTTGACTAGGTGGAAGAGCTTTGGGGGGAGTGGCTATGTTGCATTCTGGCAGATAGTAAATCCTTAGTAAATGCCTACCTGCTTGTGCCCAGGGCCCAGCAGATGACCGGAGCTGCAGTCCAGACATACCTCCTGGAGAAAACACGAGTGGCCTGTCAGGCGTCTAGTGAGAGGAACTTCCACATCTTCTACCAGGTTTGTGTCCAGCTGGGCCTACAGCTTCCCAGATGTAGGGTAGAGATGGGTCTGAGCTTCCGAGCCCTCTTCTCTGTCCCCCAGGCCCCAGGCCTGACCCACCGCTTTCAGTGATGCCGCCACTTATTCCTGCAGACTTTCTGTGACTCTTTGCCTCACGCTGGACCTTGGCTCCCAGAATGGTTTTGACCTGGAGATGCATTTGCTTTATCAAACCAAAAGGTCCTTGACACTGGGACTGGGTCCCCCTCATCAGACCAAGGACTCTTAGAATGGCACCTTTCTCCAGCAGAGTGAGAGCTTCCCTAGAGCTGTGTCTGATGTGTCTCCCATCAGACTTGGGATACCCCAGAGCCTGGATAGGATGTCTCCTGCTCATATGGACCTGGGGCTCCCCAGATAGGAGTCGTGCTTCCTTCATCAGACCACAGGCCTCCTCAGCAGGCTGTTTTTGCATCGGGTTGGAGACATTCAGAACTGTTGCTGCGACTTTTGTCCCAGGGCCTGTCCTGGGCTCTATGCCTTGGCTCTCTCACCTCTCAGCCTTGTGATATCAAAGCATTTCTCCTCTCATGGCAACCCCAGGCTTATGCAGGCCTGGCTTCCTCACACCCTCACCTCAACCGTCCACCCACCCCTCCCCACAGATCTGTAAAGGAGCCAGCATGGACGAGAGGCTCCAGTGGCACCTCCCCGAGGGAGCAGCCTTCTTTTGGCTGCCCAACCCAGAGAGGACCTTGGAAGGTAGGGGGAGCCTTGTCCAGCACCCTGGACTGGCCCATCAGTACCCACTCACCCTCTGCACAGGGCCTGCCTTCACCCCTCGATGCCCCTGCTGACCTCTGGTCCTGACCCTGGGCTGTGACTTGGATTCCTTTTCAGAGGATTGTTTCGAGGTGACCAGAGAGGCCATGCTTCATTTGGGCATCGACACCCCTGCTCAGAACAACATCTTTCAGGTTAGAAGAAAAGGCACATCTCTTATGTTTGGCAGAGGTGATGGATGGGCAGCCCCTTTCATGGGTCCCTTCTCTGAACTCTGAAGATCTAGGACTTGAAGCCCCACTGTGCAACCTCTAAGAAGTCACTTACCCTCTGTGCTACTGAGCCTAGATGGGGTGTCAGGATGGATAGGGCATAGGGGACAATGATTGAGTGCACAGGTGCAGTGGTTAAAACCTGACACAGTGGTTGGGGGCTCAGCAGGGGGAGGGTGAGGTGCCTAGGTCAGTTACTACTGCAGTGATCAGAATACAGAATAGAGAACTAATGCTATCACAGCTTCGTCTAAAGTATTCAGACCTTAAAATCATGTTCATACCTCTTAGTCCACTTGGTTATTTCAGTAGTCCTACACATATGGAGATTATTCCCATTTTTATGCTTGAAAAGACTAGAGAAGTAAAGTGACCTCCCTAGCCCTAGGTCAGACATCACTGACGGTTTGTATCAGATGTAGATATTCCGACTTCCCACTTTTCCCTCCTCTCAGAGTGTTGACCCAGGTGAGCTGGGCCCACCAGTGGCCTCCCTTCTCACCCTCCCAGAGCACCAGGGGGGATATATAGGGTGGGTTGGCAGCAGCCACAGGGAAGCCTGTGTGGGGAGATGGTGGTGCACTGGGAAATGACCTCTGCCTCTGGATGGGGGCTGCTCAGGCAGGAGGGGGTCGTGGCCTGTATATGCACCGTAGGCCTAGAGTTTGGCCAGAGGGAAAGTGGACAGCAAGTGGACAACAGTTGGGTTCTGGATAACAGTGTTGGCCTTGCAGTATCCTGACCCTCTGCCCACTGGGCATGGTAGTCTTCTCCGAAGGTAGGCTGTGGCCTCAACTCTAGTAGCATGTAGAGACACCCTGCTTGGAACCAGACGGGGATGGTAGGGGAGGTCCTATTCCCCCAATAAGGGTCTGAGAGTTTTCAAGTTGCTGGACTTGAGTCTCTTCTCTGTAGCCCCTGGGGACTCATCCGTGTGGATCAGTGAGTGCACAGTCCGAGTGCACAGTCCGCTGTACAGTGTGGACTAGGACAGAGAGCCCGCTACACAGTCCCAGATTCCACCACAGGCTGAGCTGTCAGAAGCCCCACAGTGCTGAGAAAAGGCCAGAGGGAGCCAGGACCAAACCCCCACTGGCCACACAGCAGTGAGCCTGGCACCCAGGTAACAGTGGTGTTGTCACAGCCTGCCCCTAGAGAAGGGGAGGCACAGGGACAGGCAGTGGATGACTTAGGAGCTCTACTGGCTGCCCTGGGAGGCATCTGAAGTCAGACTGCCTGGGTTCTCATCCTGCTTTCGTCTTTTACTAAGTCTGTGGCCTGTAGGCTTGTGATTTGAAGATTTTATTTTATTTGAAGATTTTATTTTATTTTTTTAAGTAATCTCTACACCCAACGTGGGACTTGAACTCACGATCCCAAGATTGAGAGTCACACACTCCTCTGAGCCAGCCAGGACCCCTGTATGATTGAACTTCTCCCTCTGTCACCTCTGTCATGGGCATCATCACAGCATGTTGCTCACTGGTAGTTGACAGGACTAAACAAGGTGATGCCTGTAACTCTTACAGAATTGTGCCGGCAGGGTTCCTTCTCAGGGGGCATCAGTTAGGAGGTTCTCTTCTTATCCTGGTAATGTTCAGCAGGAGATGGGCCCTTCCCGGGCAAGGCTCCAGCCCCGGAGAAAGAGCTCATGCCGTGTCCTCTCCTGCCCGCTCAGGTCCTGGCCGGACTGCTGCACCTCGGCAACGTCCGCTTTGCCCACTCTGAGGACGAAGCCCAGCCCTGCCACCTGACGGGAGATGCCCAGTGTGAGAACAGGGTGGGGGCCTGGGGCTCAGGCTGCGGTCACAGCGCCTGGGAGCAGGGCCTGCCCTGTCTGGAAACGGGCCAGCGTGGGTGGGACTGGGCGGGAAGGCCTGAGGGGGGAATTTGGAAGGTGATGCTCTTGAAACTGTGGATGTTAGTCCTCGCCCCATCTCTGGGAAGACAGCATCGTCCCTATCTTACAGATGAGAAAAAAGAGGGTTTATAAAGTGATTTGTCCCACATGAGGCAGTGTGGACTGAGACCGAGAATCCTGGGTTCAAGTCATGTCTCTGCCTTAGGCAGGTCCCACTCACCTGAACCTAGGTTTATTCTGTCTGGTTGGGTGGGTCACAGTTCCACTGTGACAACTTCCACGTGGTCTTGTGAGAAGGGCTGTTTGGATGGAGGGTGATGTGTCCCTCTCAGGCTCTCTCAAGACATCAGCCTTGCTGCTGCAGCTTCCAGAAGACCCGCTGCTGGAGACGCTGCGGATCAGAACCATCAGGGCAGGCAGGCAGCAGCAGGTGTTCCAGAAACCCTGCTCCCAAGCCGAATGCGACACCCGCAGAGACTGTGTGGCCAAACTAGTCTATGCACGGTGAGCAATCAGGCCCTGCCCTCATTCCACGTTCTCTGCCTATCTAGAGCTGGACCAGGCACCCTCAGGCAGTATGCCTAGGCCCCTGGTGAAGGCTTCTAGATAAATTAGACACATTCTTCTCCCTGCTTCCCAGACCCTTCCCAGATCCTTGGGACAGCAGGGAGTGGCTCCTGGGTTTTACCTGAGCAAGGCCTTTGACCTTAATTCCAGAGTCCTCTGCCTGGGGAAGTTGCCACAGTCTGGGTGAGATTCAGCTCATTATGAAAGCATAGGAGCCTGCCTTGCCCTTGGCTGTGGGTGAGGAAAGTTTGCCTGACTCTGCTGGCAGAGCCGGCCTGGAGGGCCATCTGGGGCCGTCACAGTTCCAGGCTTAGACTTCTGGGTCAATCGGCTCCTCTGTCTCCATGTGCCCTCGTACTTCATGTCTTTCTGTTACCTGGGGATAATGATAGATGATGGAGGCAGAGTGTGGCCCACTATCTCGCACAGCATAGTGTGCCGCAAGTGCGAGCCCAGAACATGGTGAAGGTGGGGTCCTGGCCTTTCACTGGTTGGTTATTTGGGCATCTCCGCCCTCTGGCCATGTGGTTAAGGTTGATTTCTCACCCTGGCTTCTGAGAACCTTCAGGCTACCAAGTAAAGGTATCAAGGGCCCAGAATCCTCCAAAACTATGGGACCGAGTGCATGCATGTGCTTATGGGAACTCGGGCCCTGGGGAGAGAGGGTCCCCCTGCTTTTGTGAACTTCCCAAGAGGCATTACTGGGGGAATAAGATCCACTGAGATGAAAATGGCCTGCGGCATCTAGGCTCAGGCTGACCCCAGTTCAGCAAGAGACTTCATTCCCACTGCCCCAAAGCTGATTTCAAGCCAAAGACTTTTAAAGCCTTTGTGTCAAGTCACTGCAAAATGAGCAGATAAGATAAATATGACGACCACAGACAGAGTGAGCCTGTGTGAAATAGAACATTTCATACAGGTTTACTGTATCATCAGGTCATTTGTGTCTAGTACCTGAGATGGGTAGTTGAATCCCCTGTGGCAAAAACAGAAACCAGAGCCTGATTGCAGTAAGTTGCAGAGCAGTCACTTTAAGAAAAACTATAAGAAAGAGGCCCCTTAATCGTACCGTACATAGTGCTGAATGTGTCCAGGACAGTGACTGCCTTGTCTTCTTGGGGGTAGGGGGCAATGGTCCAGAGTACAGGATGCCACCTTGGGCCACTGCGGGATCGAGTCGGGGGATGTGGCAGGGTCTCAAGCTCTAGGCACTACAGGTCTAGTTTTGCAGGGGAGTCTAATGAACTTGGTTCTTTGCAAGCCTAATGCAGGCCTGCCCATCAGTTCCTTCCCTTCTAATCAAGACACCAGCTGAGTGTCTAGCCAAGTGACTGATGGGAGATGCACTCCCCATCTAGCCCCAGGGTCTCGTCCTTTGTTCAGCGTGCTGGCAGGACAAGACAGATTTCTGTTTTGTCAAGGGATAGGCACGACTATGTTTGACCCTTTGGCCTGCCAGGTTTGGGATACAGGCCCTTCGGAGCATGGCACCCTGGCTGGAGGAGCAGTGCTGCTGCCCCTCAGGCTCACCTGACCTCTCACCGGAGTCCTCTCTCCCTCCATCCCCATCCCAACAGGCTGTTTGACTGGCTGGTGTCCGTGATCAATAGCAGCATCTGTGCAGACCCTGCCTCCTGGACCACTTTCATAGGTAGCAGGGGCTCACCTTTCCGGGAGCACTCCTTCAAAAAAAGAACCATAGTGTCCACTGTGCAACTCCGGGCAGCTCTGTTCCCTTCTCTGCACCCCCTTATCCTCAACCACCAATGTCTGGGCAAGATGGCTCGTGTTCTCGGTGTCCACATCTGACCCGTCGGTAGCTCTCCAGGCAGACTCGGATGGTGTCTTTGTGAGGGCCCCTCCTCCCCTGAGACCCTGGTCCAGCCTCAGGAAAGCAGTGCGGGGAGAGGCAAGATAGCTAGATTAGAGGGATTTGGGGGACATGCCAGCATGGTTGGAACTGGGGTGGAAAAGTCAGGGAGGGGAGGAAGTCAAGCTCAAAGATGGGAAGTTTGCTCAAGGGACAGTGGCATTTTAGATACCAGCTGGGCTGGTGAGATAAAGGCCCTCCAAATTGGATTGGACACAGAAAATGTTCTCTAGGCCGCCCCTCGATCCTCATTCGGCCTTTCTTCCTGCTCTGAGTTCTGAGGGGCCATGAAGTGGAGATGGGCCCCACCCCAAGGTGGGGTGTCTGCTGTGCCCACTGCCGGGTGTCATGCTCATTCAACTCCATCTCCAGGCTGCCAAGCGTGCGCCTTTGCCCCGGGCTCCCACAGTCCCCCCAGTACTCCTCCTGCCTGGGCAGCAACCCCATGGCTCTCCCCCATCCTCTCAGGCCTGCTGGATGTGTACGGGTTTGAGTCCTTTCCCAACAACAGCCTGGAACAGTTGTGCATCAACTATGCCAACGAGAAGCTGCAGCAGCACTTTGTGGCTCACTACCTGAGGGCCCAACAGGTGAGGGGTGGAGAGCTTCTTCCAGGGGCTTACCCAGAGCCTTTCGTTCCTTCTTTGATGCCATTCTGGAATATGCTCTGGTATGGAGGCCAGCCATGGATGAGCCATCTCGGCCTCAGATCACATTTGCCTTCTCCTGGCATCTTTATTCCCTAGGAGGAATATGCAGTCGAGGGCCTGGAGTGGTCATTTGTCAACTACCAGGACAACCAGACCTGCTTGGATCTCATCGAGGGGAGTCCCATCAGCATCTGTTCCCTCATAAACGAGGTGGGGTCAGCTAGTTTGCTGAGCACCAGAGTGGGGCCTTTCTGGGGCCTTGGAGACTATACTGTGCCCCTGTACCTCTGTCTTCCCATCTGCCAAATGGGTTTGCTAATCCCTATGTTCCTTCCCTCTCAGTGTCACTGTGATGCCTCTGTGACAATTCTGCAGTGGGGAGGGGCCACAGGGCGTGGGGACTGTGAGGGTTGTGGCGAGCCCATCTCGTGTTTGTGGCTGACCGCCCATCCCATCCCATGTAGGAATGCCGCCTGAATCGGCCAAGTAGTGCAGCCCAGCTCCAGACCCGCATCGAGAGTGCACTGGCGGGCAGCCCCCGCCTGGGCCACAACAAGCTCAGCCGGGAGCCCAGCTTCGTCGTGCTGCATTACGCGGGGCCCGTGCAGTACCACACTGCAGGCCTGGTGGAGAAGAACAAGGTGAGGCCAGGCCATGGCTTGGGGAGGCCTGCATGAAATGAGGTGTTGAGTTACTGCTGCACATAGATGGAAGTTTCCGGTCATGCACTCTCTCTCCTGAACATCCTCCCAGAATCCAAAGTCACTTCTTAGGCTTACCTGCCTGAGGCCCCTCAGGCATGAGGGATGAGCTGCCCAGAAATGACTCCTGTCACAGTGGGGCTCCCGTGAAGCCATCTTCTGGGGCCCTGGTGAGCAGGACTGGCGCACCAGATGGGTGCATGCCACCTGCCCTTACCTGCTGCCCTTATCCTTTTCCAATAGGACCCTGTCCCCCCTGAACTGACCAGGCTCCTACAGCAATCCCAGGACCCCCTACTCAAGGTGCTGTTTCCTGCTGACCCCGAAGAAAAGGCCCAGGAGGAGCCCTCTGGCCAGAGCAGAGCCCCTGTGTTGACTGTGGTGTCCAAGTTCAAGGTGGGTCTGGGGGTGCTAATATGTGCCTGGTTCATTCATCAATCTCATATATTTACCAAGCACCTCCCAGGGTTGGTACTGTGTGCTGGGGAGCACTGACGAGTCACAGAAACATGATCCCATCCACATGGAGTTGGTCCCATCCATGGACCCATCATGGGACCCATGATCCCATCCATGGAGTTCCACATGGAAACATGATCCCATCCACATGATCTTCCTCACAGGGAAGATCGAGATGGGAAACTGACAAAGAGACATAAAATTGACATGATTGAAAGCCTAGGATCTTGTGGGTGGCACAATGAGGGCCTCTCACTCGCTGCTGATAGGGTGGTCATGGACAAGCAATAGTTCCTTGAACTTTTGTGCCCCATTCCTTCCCAGTTCTCCAGCATCCTGGTCCAGCTGTCCTTGGCTAGCAGACTGGCCATCTCCTCTAGCACCTTTTGCTTTCTGCCCCCTCTCAGCCCTTGTGCATTCTGCTCCCCCTTCCTGGGATGCCTGTTCCCCTGCCCCTGCCATTGCCCCCAGACTCCCACCCTCCATACCCCTTGCCCTAGTTGATTCCTTCTCCTCCTTCAAACCTCAGCTTGATATCACCTCCTAGAGGAAGCACCTTGTGGAGCCCAGATTTTGTTGGGACTTTCCTGCCTAGCCTCAAACACGCCACTGAGGGGGGCCCACCCCATGTCTCTGTGTCCCGTCAGACTCTGGGTTCTGAGCCCAGACTGACCATGTCATTACCCCAGCACAGGTCCCCTGGCACACAGGATGGGCTTCATGAGAGCAACTGTTGCCTGAATGAGTGGCAGTGGCTTCTGAGATGGTGCTCTTCTAGGAAGATTGCACTGGTGAGGGTGGGGGGAGAGGAGCAGAGACCAGCCAGGTGTAAGATCGTAGGTCAGGAAGATCCCTGGAGGCAGGAGGTGTGGAGCAGTGGGAGGTAAGGCCAGGAGGGTGCTTAGACTCCGTGAGCACCTCCCATAATCGGCCCAGGACCCGGGAGCATCCCCGTCTCCGGGCTGTGAGGACCGCCGGGCGTGTTGGAGGCTGTCACTAACCAGGGCCCAGCTGATGTGCGCCGGCAGCTCCAGTCTGCCTGACCCACAGTCTCCCTCCTGCAGGCCTCCCTGGAACAGCTTCTGCAGGTTCTGCATTGCACGACGCCCCACTACATTCGCTGCATCAAGCCCAACAGCCAGGGCCAGGCGCACAGCTTTCTCCAGGAGGAGGTAATTCACAGAGCTGGAGCTGCTTTGCAGCGAGTTCTATCTGGCCAAGGCTCTGAGGGATTGAAAGGCAGAACTTACCCTCCAGATGGAGTGACCAGAGTGTGTGTCTCAGGCTGAGTCTCACATGAGGGCGTCTTGTGTTCCCTGCTTTGGCAGCACGGTCACAGTATGGTTTCGTGGTCTGTGCATGGCACGGTAAGCTAGCTGAGATGTCCCCCTGCATCTGACGCTCTGTGCGCCGACTGTGCCCTGCTGATACCGAAGCTGCCCTGTGGGACAGGTGACTCTTGTGATTCGCTGAAAGCCTGTGTCGCCTTAGAGTCAGCACAGTGCAGCCATTTCTGTCAAGTTATTGCTGATTTGCACGAATGCAGTCGGCCAGCAGCTGCTCTTTGTTCAGGGTACCGGGCTCTGAGGTGTGGATGAGGTCTGAGTGCTGCACAGTGCTGGAGAGGGTCCCACAGCCAAGTGGTCTAGGGTTGAAGGCCAGGATCTCTCCACTCAGGTCCCGAAGAACCTTTACAGTATGATCTCTCCTCCCTCTCGGCTGTGATTTACTCTGTTGTCCGCAGAATATAAAATAAATAGAAAATAGATTGGGTTGGGCTGCATGGTGAGGTAGAGCCTCTGCGCTGCTTGGAGAGCTGAGACAAAAGCAGGACCAGCACTTGCCTCAGCTGCATCCAAAGCCAGGCATCCGATAAGGGTACCTGCGGCCACCTGGACCCTTTCTAGCAGGGAGATCTTCTTAAGGTCCCAAGGAGTAGACCCCCAGCAGCCACTCCTCTGGACAGCCTGCAGGTTCGTACCGACCAAGGCCAGGGTAAGGCCTCAGAGGGCAGAAGGAGTGGTATTTCTGACCTGCTGGCCCCATGCCACAGGTGTCCATCCTGTCTCCACCCTTGCAGGTCCTGAGCCAGCTGGAGGCCTGTGGCCTCGTGGAGACCATCCACATCAGTGCTGCTGGCTTCCCGATCCGGTGAGCGGGCCGAGCCAGGCACGGGGCAGGGCCAGTGCTGGGGTGGAGCTTGGGACTCGGGCGTGATGAGCTGCCCGGCCCAGAGCAGGAGGTGGAGGTGAAGAGAAAGCAGCAGGGCTGCAGAGGTCAACCTGGAGCTGGAGAGGCTTCGCTTGTTCATTTCGTTTATCCGTTCACTTTCTGTGTACTGTTTTGTAGCAGGCACTGTTGCTAGTGTCCGTGAATAAGGAAGGTGAGCCCTGCCTCTTGGGGCATACGTTCCTATGGGACATACAAGAAGTACAAAGTTAATCAGTGCTAGGAAAGAAACAAAAAAATGCTGCTCAGTAGACTAATGGGAGAAAAGAATCTTTGGGCTGTTGAGGGAGGGGCCCCTCTGAACAGCTCAGGCCTCTGTTAAGGAAAGGTTTGGGGGAGGAAACTGCAAGCACAAAGCTCCCAGTTTAGGAACTAAGATGCTAACGTGACGGGCGCATAGAGACCTGGAGGAGAGCGGCCGCACGGACCCCACAAGGACTTGGCAGTTTGTCCACAGGGCCTGGAAGCTGCTGGATGTTGTGAGAAGAGTGCTGTGCTCACATTGATGCTCTGTGGCTGCTCTGTGTAGGCTGGATGTAGGGGTAGGAGAGAAGGCACATGTCTGAGAAGGCTGTTGCTGGTGTGCAGGCAGGATGGTGACCCAGATGAGGGGGCAGCCATGAAAAATGGAGTGAAATGGGGGAAATTGGAGTATCGTTTCTGATAGAAACGGGATTGTGGGTTGGTTGACCATGGGGTGTGGGCAGGGGAGCAATCAGCTTCCAGGTCACACAGGAAACTTCCAGGCTTCCATCTGAGGCTAATGGATGCATCAGGAGGCAGTTCCCTGAGATAGGATGTCTGGGGAAGGCACAGGCTGGAGGTGGGATGGGAGGAGAGACAGGAATGTGACCTTATCAGGTTTGTAGCGGCTATAAGACAGGCTTGGGGCCCAGAGCTTTGGGAACTAGAGTGCGTGAGCATCTGTCCTCATCGTGAGCAAGGAGGAAGTCATGGTGGGGAGAGAGAAGTGCTCTGAAGCCGTTCCCTGAGGAACATTCACATTTATAGAGAGGGTAGGTGACAAGAAATCAGCAATGGCAACTTGGCAGGAGTTGTGGGTGAAGGAGGAAGCCAGGCTCCCAGGGGTTGCTGGGGCTGAGAGAACTGCATGAAGACGGGGGCCAGCTGGGCACCTCCCAAGGCCAGTCAGAGCGCTGACTGTTAGATTTGGTGGTGTGGTGTTTGGTGATGGCTGCAACAAGAAGCACATGGGAACAGCGCTGGGGACAGAAGCCAGACTCAGGAGGAGGAGGTAGAGACAGATACAAGGTGTCACCAGCAGTTTAAGTGTTGCAGTGGAGGGGAACAAAGAAATCAGGAGGAAGCAAGGGAGGCTATGGGGTCAGAAGCCACAGATGCGGCTGACTGCATACGCGCCAGGAGCCATCCAGCTAGGGAGAAGCCTGCAAGTCCCTTGGGCAGATCACCTTGGCAGGAAAAGCAGACCCAGTTTAAAACGGTCTCCACTGGCTTCCGTGAATGACCACAGTCCTCCCTCCAGAACCACACCGCATCCATTCACCGCGGGCACTCTGAGGGCAGGGCCTCGCTCCACTGTTGAGTAGATTAAATCAAGGAACTCCCGTTGGCCCCAAGCTCTGTGCCAGGCTCACAGATGAAGTCACTTCATTTCTTCTGCCCCCACCTCCCCCTCTGGCTTCCAGGATCCCTCACTGGAACTTCGTGGAACGATATGAAGTACTGAGAAGGATCTGTGCTCGCACATCCTCTGGCCCCCACAGCCCATCTCCTGCTGAAGGGCACTCCGGTGAGTGGGGCCCGTGTGCTAGTCACGTGTTCAACCACAGTTGACCGAGTGCCTGTCCTCAGCCATCTCGGATGGGGCTGGGCATTCAAAGCAGAGGAAAACACAGCCCTGTTCTCATGGTTCTTGGCCCAGTAGGGGAAACAGACTAAAAGAAGACAAACACTGGGGAAAGTGGAAAGGCAGAGCTGAGAACAGAACGCCGTGGGTAGTGCTGGGGAACTGTGAATCAGGGAAAGCTTCCTGGAGGAAGTGGTGTCTGAGGACAGATGGCATTGGCTAGGTGAAGAGCATTCCACATGACAGGTAATTGGATGGAGGTCTGCATGCAGTAGACAACACTGTGTGTGTGAGGAACTCCAAGCCAGAGTTGCTTGTCCATAAGGACAGAGAACAGGTGGAGCGGAGACTGAGGTGATAGGGATGTCACAGAAGCTGAGCTTTATTCTTTGGGTAGATGGAGGCACGTCAGAGGAGGAAGAGAGTGACATCAGCCTCATGCTTTCTGGAGACCACTGTGGGGCCCCTATGGCAGGCCATGGGAGTGAGGCTATTAATACTGGCCGGAGTCAAGCTAGAGGTGTGGGCACAATGGGCAGTGTTGGGAAGAAACTGGTCAGACTGTGCCTGGCCAGTGGGGAAGAGAGGTTTGGGGGAGCTGCTGAGCCCCATAGGGCTGACTTGAGCTCCAGGTCCCTGGAGTCATCCTGTGGAGGCATCTGCAAAGCCCTCAGCAAGCTCTAACGTCAAGGGAAGGTCACATGTGGCCCCAGTTTGGGGGTTGTCAGCATGTAGGGTAAGCCCCCTGCACAGGTGGAGGAAGAAGAGGCCAAGGACAGAGTGGGAGGCTCCTGCCCAGCAGCAGTGGCTCCCACGCACACAGCCCTGCCCTGGAGCCTGGCAGACCTGGACAGTTCTGCTTTCCCTCCTCTCTCGGGCACAGTTTTGTCACTTGCCTTTCACTCTTTTCCCCCACTTCTTTCCTTCCCCGCTCTTCATGATCTGCTCTACTGCTCTGTGTCTCGTGCCCAAAGCCCCCTTCGCCCCTGGTTGATTTTGCGGTTTCTCGTCTGCGGCGTCTTCTTTGGCAGCCTCTGTCTCCAGAGAGGCACTGGGCAGCAAAAGGTGGTCAGAGCCCTCAGGTAAACCTCTATAGGAGCCAGCCCTGCACGCTGCGGGAGGGCAGGCAGGGGCACCTGTTGGGCCTCTCTGGGACCGGGATTTGTTCGCCCTTTTGTCACGTGGCAGGAAGTTGAGGGGTCAGGCAGAGGGAATGGCCCAGCTGCCCTACTCAGCCCTCAGCATGTTTGGGGCCTTGGAACACATGCTGGCAGAGTAGCCTGGGTTTCCAGATTGGGGTCCAGGCACCAAGTGCCCTTTGCCAGCTTGCCCAGGGAACCCGTGGGGATGGAGGCTATGGGCCAGCCCAGGGCCCAGCCACAAGTAGGGAGTTCAGTATGCCTCAGAACACTAGGGTCCTCCCCCCAAAAAGGGTGGAGAAGTGGTTAGAGGCAAGAACAGGAGCAGAGAAGCCTGTGGAGTAGTGAGGAGACCAGAACTGGTTTCTCAAGTCCACAGAAGTGTGTAGATGACCAAGAGCTGATGGGACCTCCATCTCCCATCCCACAGAAAGGTCTCCGTGCACCGAGGCAGCCACTCTGCAAGCTGTCCTCCAGGACATCCTCCACACTCTTCCAGCTCTGACTCAGGCAGCAGCCACACTTGGTGACCCCGCTAAGGCCACACCAGCCCCAGTTCACTGTGGCAGGACCAAGGTGTTCATGACGGACTCCATGGTAAGCTGGTTGATGGTGAGGAGGGGAGTTCTCCGAAGCCAGCCGCTTGCTCTCCTCAGCGCCACGGGGTCTGGAACCACTTCAGGGCAGTGGGAGGAGTGGCTGAGGCCCTCAGTGGATACCCCTTCTCCCAGCTGGAGCTTCTGGAACACAGACGCGCCCAGGTGCTGGAGCAGTGTGCCCGCCGCATCCAGGGCAGCTGGAGGCGACACTGGCATCGCAAGCAGGAGAGGCAGAGGCGGGCGGCCGTGCTCATCCAGGCAGGTAGGAGGCACATGGGCCTGTGTGCAGACCCTGCATGATCGGAGTTTCCTGCAGAACCTTATGCCAAGGCCGTGTCCGAGCCTCAGCACATGGATGGCACGACCCTATGGTGCACTGGGATTCGAATTCCAACACACCTCACCGATTGTCTCCCCAGTCCAGTGAAAACCAGGTCACACCACAAGTAAGGCCACTCTGTAGGCAGCAGAGACTTAAAAAATTGCCTTTATTCCTCTTTCCCAGACCTGGAGGGTGGCTTATGCCACCTTCCTCTGCTTCCACAACAAATCATTATGTGCTGGGTCCAGGGCTTGTAATGAGTTTGAGAAGATTTGATTTATCAAAGGAAGAGACATAGAAAGCATATTCACAGCAGTCTTACCTTAAAAATACTAGAAACCACCCACATAGCTGACCGTAGTAAAGTCATGGTTATGTCATGAACCAAACTTATGATACAGCCAAGAAGTCTTTTTGAAGAGTATTTTAAATTTAATGGAAAACCACTTGCAATGTGATGTTCAAATCAGGATACCAAACTGCATGTCAAGCACGATGCCACCTTCCTCAGGTGTGTTTCTGTATTTACAGGCCTAAAAAAATTGTGTAAGCAAACTGTAGAACTCTGCATTGGTCAGATAACAGGATTTGGATCTGTCTTTAAACTTTTTAGTTTTCTAGAATCCAGACTATTAATAGTGAATGGAATAGCCCCTTTTCTGAATGTAAAAGAACGAGAAAATGCTCAAAGTGCAAGAGAAGGAAATGAAAATTGCGACATGATCAGTTTACCATCGTGGGCGCATGGTGGGGGCTCTGTTTATGAATTCTTAAGGCCAGTAAGCAGCTTGAGCTGAGGATTTCCCCCTTGTTCCCCAGGCACTGTCTCGGGCAGCGCCTGAGGCGGAGGTGAGCTTGGTCCCCGCTGCCCTTCCACACGAGGTCTGTCCCAGCCTGATGTTCCGAGCCTGAAAGCCTTCCAGAGCTTACAGAGGGCCTTTGTTCCCTCCTGTAGGCAGCATCGTGGGCTGGCCGTTCACCAAGGAGGCGCAGGTTCTGGGCAGCTCGGGCGTGGCTGCAGGGCCAGGCTTAGAGTTCTAACGTTTCATTTACTTTCTTGTCTCTGGGCAAACCTGCCAGCCATCCGTTCCTGGTTAGCTCGGAAACACGTGCAGAGGCTACACACAGCCGCCACAGTCATCAAGCGCGCGTGGCGGAAGTGGAGAGTGAGTATAGGACTCCTGCGGGCAGAACGGGTGGTGGCTGGCTGGCACCCAGCGGCCCTGGGCTGGAGCGCTCACCCGGCACTGCTCGGAACACCACTTGTCCTCCAGGGCGCCTGGGGTGCAGAAAGGGCAGCATCAGCAACTCGGCACATACTAAAAACCATGGAATTCTGCACTTTCAAGGGGTGAATTTTACGGTCTCTCAATTAGACCTCAAGGCTGTTACTTTTAAAGTAGCAAATGTAAGGCCTGAGCACAGGTGCCCTGGGCACAAAGATGTTTGACCACAAGGCACCCATCTGTTTGAAGGCATCCAGCTGTTCAACAGCCCTGTGCCCTTCAGATCACCTTGTTGAGCTATCTTATTATAGTTTGGGTTTCCATTAAGAACTAACAGATTGAAAGCTATAAAGTGGCATTCTCCTTTTTTAAGATTGGAATGGCCTTCCTTGCTTCGAAAGAACTGGATGGTGTGGAAGAAAAACACTTTTCTCAAGTTCCCCTTCCCACGGGCTCCTCCCTGCTGCCACAGACACAGACCAGCCTCCTGGCAGCAATAATCCGCCTCTGGCCCCTGGGACTGGTCCTGGCCAACGCAGCTGTGGGGGTCCGCGGCTTTCAGAGGAAGCTGGTGGTCTGGGCCTGCCTCCAGCTCCCTGCGGGGAACCCCAGTAGCTACCCCGTCCAGACAGCACAAGGACAAGCTGGTGTCACATCCATCCGAGCACTGCCTCAGGTAAGCTGTATGATGGGACAGCAATCCTGCCCACAACGGCTCTGGGTCCCTCACACCTCCTTGTAGAAGGCAGGAGCCAAAGCCCGAGCTCACAGCAGGAGCAGGACTGAGGCAAGAGCTGTTCTGACCAGGGAAGCCAGAAGCCTGAGCTTCCCAGCTGGCTACAGGTTTGGGTGGTTTCCATCATTACAACTCAGAATTTTCCAGACTCCTCCCACTTTTTATTTATTTATTTTAAAGATTTTATTTATTTATTTGACAGAGAAATCACAATAGGCAGAGAGAGAGGGAAGCAGGCTCCCTGTTGAACAGAGAGCCCAATGCGGGGCTTGATCCCAGGACCCTGGGATCATGACCTGAGCCGAAGGCAGAGGCTTAACCCACTGAGCCACCCAGGCGCCCCCCCCATTCCCCTTTTATAAACTGCCTCTAAGTGTTCTGGCTTCTCTGAAATCTCCATTTAATCAGTCCCACTTTTTGTGATGACAGTTTATTGTCTCAAATAGCACTGAAGTTAGCATCCTATTTTCCTCAAATTATTACTTCGTTTATCTCCTGCTCCAGCTGTGCAAATGACAGGCAGGTAAGTCAGTGGTCCAAGAGCTCTGTTTTTATAGTACGGGCAGCCAGGGGAAAGACTCAGCCAACACACATAATGGGCTAATGCTCAACCTGCCACATGAGGTCCCAGCAAGGGTTAAGTGACACAAGTCAGAAGGAAGGAAACAGCGAGTTTCCATACCTGAGGAATTACAGTAGGACGGAACCTAGAGATCTCCGTGACAACACATGGGTCAGCCAGATAAACAGCAGTGGGACTGTTTGCCAGTTTTAAGCAGTCTTAGGACTGTGACAGGCAACACTCTTACAGGAGAGAGCTCGCTCATCCATCACACCGAATGGATGTGAAATGTTGTATTTTAATTTGCCACTTGTTTAGAATGAGCAGAAAGCCTGCATTCAATCCTGCTCCTGCTGGGACTCTGCTATCAGTGCTTGTCCACACCTCTGTGTTTCTAGCACTGGCGCTGTGGGGCACCGAGAGGGCTTGCACTCCCGGGATCTGGGGTTCCAGCAGTCTCTCTCTCTCTCCCTAGGGCTCAATCAAGTTCCACTGCAGGAAGTCTCCGCTGCCGTACGCTGACATCTGCCCTGAACCCTCACCCTACAGTGTTAGTGGCTTTAATCAGATTCTGCTGGAAAGACACAGCCTGGGCCACGGGTGAGGTCTTCTTACCTTCTAGCCTCACCTGGCTGGGCAATCCTTTGGTGCCTTTGTGTCTACAAGGCCTTTTTCTGCCAGCTGCGTTGCCAAAGACATTTAATCCACACAAAGCTGCCAAACTACTCCCACAGCAACTCCAAGCACTTGTGACCAAGCAGTGTGTTACAGCCCCTGCACTAGGGGCCTGGGGCTCCCCTCTACATCTCAGGCCCTGACAGGTGTCGGGCTGGTTAGCAAATCAGGGCTAAGAAACCTCAGGGCCACAGAGGATGTCCCCCATTTTACTACCTTCATAGATCCAACGCAGCAGGGCAGTCCATCACTACAGTGGGGCACCCCGATTCCCTGCAAACAGAACAGGTGGGTCAGCTTGAAATTAGCCCCCAAATTTCAACTAGGATATTTGCATTTAGTTCCTTTAAAAGGAACAAAACCTCACTATTTTTAATATGTTGATTTATTTAATGTAATAATGTAACAGAAGGGTGAACAATACAATTTACCACAGAATTACCATATCCTGATTTTATTTAGCAACAGTGAGCAAGTTTTAACTCAAATGGGTATAAAACTTTACCAATCATGTGATGTCTAAACTGTACCAAAATTAAAATATTTAAACACCACCGTCTGAATGTCCAGTTCTCCCTCCATCAAGGGTTTGTCACCTTGAGTATCCTCCTCTTGTCTGAAACCCACACCCACAGTGCCGGAGACAAAGACCTTGTGCAGCCAGCCTGGAAGTCAGCACCGTGGCCGAGGGCCCCACGCTAGCTTTTCTGGGGGTAGCAGGCAGGGCAAGCGCACGCGCACGTGCCAGCAAGCAGCCCGGGAGTCCAGCTCACGAATCCTCCTCCCGGGATGGCTCCACAATCCGTAAACAGCAGTCGGCAAACTCCACGAACAAGGGCTCCTGCATGCAGGCTCGCATGAGCTTCGCCTTGTTGTCGCCCTGATCGAGGCTGACCATCAGCTGTCGAAGGTGCGGGTTGAGCAGCAGGCTTCTCAGTGCTGCAGACTCGCCTGAAGAACGAACGAGAAAGCCGATGTGGGTTCAAGTGGGGACAGATGGAGATGGCTAAAAGCTAACTGCGTCCAGTGTAGTATACGTCAAGGGTGCTGCATACCCTAAACCTTTAAACCCGAGAATGGAACCCATGCTCCACGTTAACAAGGTGAGGTCACCAGAGCAGCTGATCTCCTAAAGGCCATCAGATTCTTGTTCTCAGCATCTCTATAAATAGTTTAACTTTATGCCATTTCAACTAGGAAAAAAATACCAGCACATACACAGAGAACAACATGAATTTGTTGGCACGTTGTTTTTCATGGGCCTGAAGGTTCTCCCGGGTGAGGAGAGTTACACCAAACAGTCTGAGCGCTGTGAAAGCCGGCGCGGGGCCCTCGCACCGCAGCCTTGGTAGCAACGAACAGACACGGACATCTGTCTGCTGCCTCACGGTTTACAAAACGGTCCACGCCTGCCCTCAGCCTCACTGCCGTGGGACTCGGTGCGTGGCAGGGTGGGCCTCAGGCGACGGAAACAAAACCTTCCCCATGCAGGAACCACACTGGCCTGTTCATCACACCCTTCACAGAACCGCCCCCAGGCCTGACCATGTGGGCCTACAAAAACGCCAGGCGTTATGAACACCTGAGTCCCTCTAAAAATTTGTCTGCCGGAGTGACCAGACCACCTACGGAGCACGGGGGAGGTAGGAGTAAATGCAGGCCCTGCTCTACAGACTGGCATGGGAGAAGTTACCATCAGGTATGAGTGGTGGATTTCCAGGCCCCATGGGAAGGTGAAAGTGTTTGCTTCTGAGAAAGACAAAAAGTCAAGGAAAGTTAAGGTGAGGAAGGGTAACCTGAACCAAGCCTTGAGGGAGAACTTTGCCAACCCACAAAAACAGCAGGATTCCAGGCAGGGAGATGTGAAAGCCCCGAGTGTTTATGGAGTCAAGTGACCAGAGGGCTCTGCATACCACACTCTGTTACAGGGACCCCTGAACACCACAGGTTTGAGCTGCACGGGTCCACTCCTATACAGTCTTCCCCCACCAATACAGCAGTGTTGTAAATGTATTTTCCCTTCTTCGTGATTTTCTTAACATTGTCTTTAGCATGTAATACATGTAACATACAGAACATGTGTTAATCGACTTAAGTTATCGGTAAGGTTCCGGTCTACAGTAGGCTATAAGTAGGTAAGTTCTGGAGGCGTCAGAAGTCACAAATTTTCAACTGGAGGGTGGACGAAGGGGAGCCCTACCCCTGTGCAGTCCAAGGGTCACCTGTATTTAGTAACTTAAAAAAAATCAGACTCTATACATTGAATTAAATATATCAGTGGTTGATGAAGAAGCAAGCACACACACTTACCTAAATTCTTTAAATTCTGCAAAGACACTCTGTCCTCTTCCTCATCACTATTGAGAAAGTCAGCTACAGAGTCGTCGTCATCTGAGGAACACAGAGCACAACTAATTATGACTAGAAACAAAGCCTGGACGCCAGACTTGAACAACTCCAACAGATAAAAGTGCACATAGGTGACAGTAGTGAGGGGAAGCAGGTACTGACAAAACAAAAATGACCTTGTCTGGAATTCATGACTTTACCAACATTCCTCTTTTTTGGGAAGGAGGGTGAAGCCAAGAATTGGGGAGTTTAACAAATGCACCCTAGTGTGTTCACATGCTTGTTCTATGTGCTTGTCTGGTCTTTAGGCCAGGAGCCTGATTTTCCAATCCCTATCACCCCAGCTCTCCTCACTATGGCTCCAGCCCTGGCAGGGGCCAAAAAATTCGGTGCTTGGTAAAAACCTGCTGACATGAATACCTTGTGTTTTCAGTACAGTCAAAAATTTCTGACACTGCCTAAACCCGACAAGGAGGTTTCTCAAAGGGCAGAAATAGGATATCCCATGCTGTGAATGTTCAGTACCTCTTTGCGGGCACCAGGAGGGGCTGCCTTCAGAGGCTGGCATGGTGCCTGACACCCAGGAGAGACTGTAGTCTGTAGAGATGGCTGGGATAACTGCGCGCTCCCACAATAAGCTGGGAGGCGCCCCCAACAGCAGGAAGGGGAGCTTGGCCCAAGGGAGCCTCCCACATGAGCCCGGCTCAGGTGAACCGAAGCTCCAGCCAGGCCCAGGGAGGGAAACCTGAAGCCATGACTGGAGAAGGCTCCTGTCATTAGGGTGTCCCCCTCCCCCGAACACCACTGCCAGCTGCCTCTCACACCCTTATTTCTTGTCCTTAACAGTGCCCTCAGGCTGCTCTAGACTACACAACAGGGGCCCCCACTCCTAGTGCTCTGGGCTATGGAAGCTGTTCTTAATGAAGCCATCTTTCCTGACTCCCTGTCCCAACCCACATCTCTTTCCTTTCAGTTATTACCTTGAAACCCTTTCAAGGTTAGTTTTTTTGAAGTCAAGCAACCCACCTTTGTTTTCTGTGGGCTTTACAGTTTTTGCCGTAACAGCGGACCTTATTTTTTTCTCAGCAGGACGAGTTTCAGGGTTGCACTGCTCTGAAAGAGACATAAACAGATGCACATCACCTCCACTTCAGTGACAAGGCCACACTGCCCCACCAAGCCAGCTTCTAGGTGGGAAACATGTATGTGGTTAGGGATGGCGGGGGGAGGGTGGAGATGGATGCAGAGAAAGTGAGGGATCCTCTCAAAGGGCAGCGCTGAGAAAACAAGCAACCCTGGGCCCGGCAGAAGATGGAAGAAGCAGGCCTCACGAACCTGAAAGCTGTCCCCATCCTCCTTTCCCCTGCCTAACCTCACTGGGCTCTCCCTAGGATTAAGTGACACACTGACTTCAATTAGCAAATGATTTTCTCAGCAGTTTCAGGTACCAAATTTGCATGTACCACATGCCGCTGGGATGACAGAGATGAAAGTCATCAGGCCCACCTCAGGGGGGTTAAGCCTTAGGGATGGCAGCTAGAGACCTGGATAAGAGTCTGATCGATGTCACCTGAGAGGACTGGAAGACAAAGGGGAGGTGCTGCCAGGTGGAAAGAGCATTCCTGACAGAGAGGTCTGCAGCTGGACCAGAACCCTGGAAGAACAGGGTCGTGTGCAAGGACAGTGATACGCAACTAGCAGCTGACTGACAGGGCAGGACTGGCAGGTGGCTGGGATGCCAGTGGAGGAAGCAAGAGCAGAAGAGGGTCACACGGGAGGCTGCCCTTTCTTCCCAAGAGCAGGTCTCTCATCAAAGGCACTGTGATGTTCAGAGTGGAAAGGTCTTTAACAGTGTGAGATAGTCTCACACTCCACACGATGTTTATTTGCACCAACACCAATTACCAGAAGTGCCCCCAACCCTCCTCAGCTACTGTCACAACAGAAACATTCTCACAATGTGTCTCCATACGGAGAGCAATACCCAGGCTAAGAACCACCATCTCCCTCTGCTAGAGAGACTGGAGTTTTCAACAAGGGAGTGAATTACTCAGATGTGCATTTTAAGAGAAGCCCTGGCCGCAGCAGGGCCACACAGTGAAGAGCTCCAGATTGCCCCATACTGCCCTCGGGGTTCTTAGAGGGGCCACTCAGGACCGCACTGCCAGAGCAAAGCTTACCAGCCCGGCTCCCCAACCCAATTTTCAGCAAAGCAGTTCTACTTCTTTCTATCTTGAACGGAAAAGTTTCCTCTGAAAATGCTCAAGAAATACTAGGGTGAAAAACAAACAGCAGGGGGAGCGGTACAGCTTGAAACATACCTCTAGGCCAAGGACTGCAAGGGGATCACGCTACAGGCAAAAAACCAATAAGGCACTTCAATAACCAGAGTCAACTCAGCATGAGGTCATGGGAAAGGGTCGCTGAGGACTAAGGGGAGGCTCCAGATTGGAGTTAAAATGTAGACTTAACAACACTAACCTCCCCTTAAGATAAACAGATCTACCTCGTTGTTTCTAGCCAGGCATTTAAAGAAGAAAAAATTGTGTTAACCGCAGCCAGCGCAGCTTTTGAGAATACTAAGAAGAAACTACTAGGGCTGACTTCGGCGGCCAAAACAGTCACCTATTTTTAAGGGGAGGGGGCGGTCTCTAGGAGGAAAGGTATAGCAGGAGTTTCTGACTGGTCCAAGTCCCGGGAAGCATTCACAGGCAGAGATTCCCCCTGGGGCTCCGACAGGATTGGGGGAGGCAAGGCCGGGAGAGACGCGGCGGGACGTGGGGGCTGCCAACGCGAGAAGAGGGGCGGCTCGGGGGCGCGGGGAGACTCCGGGGCCTTACCTTTGTGCTTCCGGAAGCAGGTCACGGAGCAGCTGTAACAACAGAGGCCACGGCCGCGTTAGCCCGGGAAGTCGCGCGGACCCTCCCGGGGTCCCCGCCCGGACCCCGCCGCCCCGCCCGGTCCCCTTCCTGACGATTCCCGCACTCACTAAGGCACACGGCAGGCGGGGCAGCGGTATTTGGGTTTCTCCAAGCAAATCACGCAGACGGCGGCGCTGCAATTGAGCGACGCCATAATCCCTCCACAGCCTCTTTTCCCCGGACGCGCCAGTCTCTGACCGGGAGTCCCCACGTGCACGCCCTTTTTTCCTCGCTTCCTTAACCGGGACCAATCGGCGCGCAGCACTCACCGGCAGTCAAAAGCAATGGACTGATCCTGCTCATTGCTCCAGTCTTGATAAGTAGAAAGTAGATACACTCGATCCTTCGGCTTCCGGGAGTAGGTCTCGCAGTCGTCCCTGGGGGGGTGGCAGGGAGAGGGAGAGAGAGAAGAAGGCTCCCCACTAAGCAAGACGTCCCACGCGGGACTCCATCCCAGGACCAAGGGATCATGACCTGAGCTGAAGGCAGACGTTTAACCCACTGAACAACCCAGGCGCCCCTGACTTAGACTTTCTAATTCTTGCAAGGGCACTGGGTCCTCCCCCTCGACATTCCATTTGCTTATATCTAGCAAATGAGAAATCCAGACCCTGGTCCAGAATGGGTTAGATTGAGTGACACACACATGCTCTTCCCTGCTTAAGCCCTTTTTCTCTCAGGAAAGAAAGCTGAGGCTTGACCGCTGACCAATGTTTATTGAGCTCCAAGCAACAACACTGCACAGCCCAGATGTTGGGCTGGGGGCCCCAAGGCAGTAGCAGGCACAGTCTCTGCCCTCTATGAGCTCAAAGCTTAGAGTGGTGGCAGGAGGGAGAAGAGACCGTCTTAGGGTCCTGCCGGTGCTAGCCTGCACTTGCACGGCCCAGAGAGCGAATGCCTCTTCAAATCTTGCATTCTGGGCTCCTCACTCACTTGGCTTGGTCATGGAACAACAGATGAGTGAGCTCTGGCCCAAAGGAGGGGATTCTGGCCTAATGAGTCCAGATAGATGAACTGCGACGGGCCTTGAGTGGCACCTCAGGCTTTAGGAACAGTCATGTTTCATTAGCACCCTTGCCTCCTTGAAGCCCTTAACACCGCCCAGCCCAACCAGGGCTGCCACCGCACACCTAGGGCCATAAGTCATTCTCACTCCCAAGTCCCTCCTCCCTTGTGTTGAGCCCATTAGCCCTCAGGATTCCACTACTATAAAGGCTCCACATGATTGTCATTGTTTTTGCAGATAACCTGGTAGGACCAAAGCAATTGTTCGAGTCTTGGCTCAATCCCCTCCCTGGCTATGTGACTTCTACAGTCTCTGAGGTCCCTCACCTATTAGTGTGGATGTGCAGGCCTGATGTCCTGAGCTTCCGAGAAGCAGAGAAAAGACCATGTGTAAAAATGTATGTAATCTGAGCAGAGCCAGAGTCTCAATGATTGCAGGCTGGGGCTTGCTGGGTGGCATGAAGGGACCAGATTCCAGATTGGCTCAGATTCCATCCTGGTATCTACCTCCCTCCTTGGAGACACAGCGACCTCCACTGGCCTTGCCCAGCACTTAGCCAGGAAGACCAACAAACAGGTATTTACAACAGCTATAACCTTCAAAACAAAGTAACTCCGAATTACTGGTGGAAAACAGGATCGGGGCTCCTGGGTGGCTCAGTCATTAAGCGTCTTCCTTTAGCTCAGGTCATGATCCCAGGGTCCTGGGATCGAGCCCCACATCAGGCTCCCTGCTCCGCGGGAAGACTGTTCTCCCTCTCCCACTCCCCCTGCTTGTATTCCCTCTCTCGCTGTGTCTCTCTCTGTCAAATAAATAAATAAAATCTCAAAAAAAAAAAAAAAAGAAAGAAAGAAAGAAAGAAAACAGGATCAAGGGAGAAATAGAGTTCTAGCAGCGTGGCAGAAGTGAGGATTTGTAACTTATGTAGAATATATATGTAAATAAATAGATTGAATGTTTTTAAAAGTTTGTAATTTGAAGCACTACAAAGGATTTATTTGATAACCCAGAGTCTGTAACTCCTGGAGCTCAGGTCCCAACCCTATGAGTGCAGGTGTCGCCCCCAAGTCCCTCAAGGCCAGGGTCCCGAAGCTCAGGCCCCTCCAAAGGGGTTCTGCTGTCAGCCTCTATGGGCCACCCTCGGTGGGCCTAGGCCACTATCCATCTCTGCTTTGGATTTGCCCAACCGCCCTGGGGATGCTGTTCAATCCTTTGTGCTGGAATAGCATCGACCCCGACCTGCCCCACAGGCAGCTGCCCCCGGGTAAACCAGGACCTGCCTGAAATCTAAGACATGTCCACACTGACCCAATAATCAGCGGCATCTCCTGTATTCTTCAACACTTGTGACCACCCCAGAACCATCCCAGAAGGTCCACGCTTACCTGGGAAGGCCAGAGAAGGTCAGTGATTTGCCCAGGCCACGGTTGAATCCTGTGCCCTGTCTCACACCTGGTAGAAATCTGCTGACTGTGGACATCACCACCACCCATTCCAGATTTTTCCTGTGAGTTGTGTTTGGAGGCTGAGGCCATGGAGAGTCTCCACAATTTTCAGGGCTCAACCCCACGTCACCCACATCCAAACCACGCTTATTCCTCTACCTTGGGGTCCAGAGATGGTGACTTCAGTGAAAAGAAAGTTTCTGGAATTCCTCCCATGCACATTCCACGCAGTAAAGGCAGCCTTCCCTCTACTCTGGGAGACACTGCAGCATCCCAAAACAGCTGTACCCCTCCTGCTCCAATGTCCAGGAAAGAAGGTGGCTCGGCGATGGTGATGAGGTTGGGGAACATCAAAACGCCAAGCAAGGCCAGTATAGATCTTCTTGGTAGTGGCCAGTTCAGAAAAAAATGACACATAAGACTCCAGGCCCAGCAACGCACGTCCACACTGATGTAGCCACCCTTAGCAGCACCTTGATTCTCCCTGGACAGCCCTCCAAACCCATCCTAGCAGCTAAGGCTGCCTCACACCTCCCAAACCCGACCTGGAGAGGGGTGGGGTAGAATGATTTTCAGAGCTCTGCCACCCCGCAGGCGCTGTCCAGCACATTCCGGGGACCAAAGCCAAAGCTTGGCGTTGCATGTGGAGGTCCAGGCCCGCCGCTCAGCACCGCCAGAGGGCGCTCCAGGTCCAGACTGGCCTGGTGCCGCGGAACTTGAGCTGGATTGGAGTAAACACCCCCTCCCCGTCAGATCCAAGGCTGTCTCGCTGCACAGGGGAGGGTAAATCCAGGCATTGGCCTCTTTGTACCTCGAACATCGCCAAGAGGCAGGAAAAGCGTGGAGGGCGCGGTGCTGAAGCCAGCCACCGGATGGGCAGGAGTGTCTCCTCCACAAAAGCAAGACCCTTATCAGCAGAGGGTTCCAATTGCAACTGGCCTTCCAGCGGCAACTCCCCGATGCTTACCGCCCAACGCTTCCTGGCATTTCCAAGGGTGGAGATCCAGCTGCAAGCTGGCCACCCACATTAACTGATGAAAGTTTAACCGTGCTTTGGGAGCACGGGCTTACTAACCAGGGCCTGAGCCACTTCCCTGCACCTTCCTCAGTGCCATGATGGGGTGCGCTGAGCGATCTAATCACCCAACCTGAGCTGCATGTTCTGGTTATCAGAGGCAGGAAGTGCATAAGGTTGGGCTCTCTGCTGCCTTGCCATATCTCAGCTGCTGCTGCTTCTTTAAGATTTTATTTATTTGACAGAGAGCACAAGCAGGGGGAGCAGAGGAAGAGGGAGAAGCAGGCTCCCTGCTGAGTGAGGAGCTCAATAAAGGATTCAATCCCAGGACCCTGGGATCATGACCCTAGGGGAAGGCAGCTGATTAACCAACTGAGCCACTCAGGCGCCCCTCAAATCTCAGCTTCTTGTTGCAGCCCTAACACCTCTACCCCTCCCCAGGGCATGGGGGACCCAGGGTCAGCACCAGGAGGAGTGTCTGAGATTGGGATATTTGAGGGCCTTCTGCCTCATTCTCATCTACTCCTCCACCGCTGTTTCTCCTCTGGTATCTACGTAGTTCAGACGTTAAAGTGAGTGAGGCTGCTGGTGGGAATCAAATTAAGGAGGCCCGAGGTTCAGGTGGAGTGGAGTGGTCGGTTTCCAACTCTGAGTGTTATCTTACAACAGTGAAGAGATATTCGTTCCCAAATTTTAGACAGTAACAGTCTGACCTACAGTTAGACTTCAAGGAGAACTTCCAGACAGCAAAAGGGATAAAGAATAATTGCACTAGGTAGGCCTGGGTGGCTCAGTCAGTTAAGCCTCTGCCCTTGGCTCAGGTCATGATTCCAGGGTCCTGGGATCGAGTCCTCTATCATGCTCTCTGCTCAGCAGGGAGCATGCTTCTCCCTCTCCCACTCTCCCTTCTTGCGCTCCCACTCTGACAAATAAATTAATTAATTAGATATTTTTTAAAAGGAATAATTGTGTTATTCCCGGTCCCAGAGCTGTTGAGAAGGCACAGACAAAAGAACTCACCATTGTTTCATAAACATATCCTACCACCCAGACCTCACACTTTTCTCACACCCTCTCCCACTTGCAGATCCACACAGATCCCACCTTACACTCCGTAGGACAGAGATCAAAGGAATCAGGACTTCCCAGCCAGATTCTCCAGGAAGCCTCTCGGGGTCCCACGTGGACAGGGAGTGGATCTGGGCTTTGCACCAACCTCATATCCATGTGACAGAGAAGCACAGGAACTCCGCTCAGTAAGGAGCGGAGAAACTGAGACCCCAAACTGCCTTCCCCCTTCTCAAAAATAAAGACCAAATAAAGAGTCCAAACAGAAACCATGAGAATTCTTCACTAGCAGATCTGCACCAGAAAGTTATAAAAGCCAAAGGAAAATAATATCAGATGGAAATGATACCACCACACACCGGGTGGAATGACGAAAATGAAAAAGACGCAATACCCAGTGCTGGCAAGGAAAGAGGCTGCTGGAGTCTGGATTTTTGTGCCCCGCCCCCCAAATTCATACATTGAAATCCTATCCCTCAATGTGATGGCATTGGGAGGTAGGGCTCTGGGAGGTGATAAGGTCATGAGGGTGCAGGCCTCGTGAAGAGGATTGTGCCTTTGTGAAAGAGACCCCAGACAGAGAGCTCTCTTGCCCTCTTCCTACCATGTGAGGACACAGTGGGACGATGGTGGCCCGTGAAACAGGAAGCGGGTTCTACCAGAAACCCAATCTGCATGTGCCTTGAT